AAGGATCTTGTGGCCTAATGAGGAGACAATGGTATATGTTTTAGTATATACAAGGTAGACTCAAGTTGATGGCAGGGAGGAGTGGAGAGGTCAGTACTGGCATTGGAAGCTGGGGTGTCAGAAAAGGATTCACTGAGAAAATAGAATGGGAACTGAATCTTGAAGGAAACTTGGGATTTTAAGAGCCTGGAAGAGGTGGGGGTTCATTTGAGAAATGGGGGCAGCCAGTGGCCAGCCATGGAGATGGGGATCAAGTGAGGCCAGTTAGGCTACTCTACAGAGTGAGGAGGGGAGTGCAACAAGACCAGAAGAGTAAGTAGGGGCCAGGTAGTGAAGGGCTTTGAATGACATTTGGAAGAGTTTATATTTTATCCTAAAGAATATCCTAACATAGCAAGCCAGTAGGGCTTGTCAAGTTGGGGAGTGGCAGGGATGCCATATTGTCAAATTGTTTGCTCTCATTTACTACCATGAATGAGTGACATTTAGTGACATGAAACCCGTCCTCAGGGACAGGGATTGTTTAGTCCCCATGTCACTGGGAATGTATTGTACGACCTTGGGCAGTCACTTTACTTCCTTATGACTCAGTTTCTTCATTTATAAAATAAGAAGGTCAGACAAGATGATATGTCAGGTCCTTTACAGCTCTATCAGTCTAAACTCTGACATTGAACATCAATTTAACGAGCATTTATTAAGCACCTACTATATAAGAAGTACTGGGATATAAAGAAAGGCAAAAATACAGTCTCTGCTCTCATGGAACTCCAAATCTAATGGGAGAAAACATGCAAAAAACCAGCATTAAGAAACACCCTACACTTGAGGTGAAGACAAAGGACAGAGAAGATAAAGTCCAAGGAAGGAATAAATAGTTAAACCTATTGCCTCAGGTGAGGCAACATGGTGTAGTGAATTGAGAACTGGACCTGAAATCTTTAAGAGCTGGGCTGAAATCTTGCCTCAGGTACTTAATAGTTTTGTGACCTGGAGCACATTCCTTAACCTTTGTGTATCTTAGTTTCCCCATTTGTAAAATAAGAGGATTGGACTTGTCCTCCATAGTCCCTTCAAGCTCAAAAGGCACTAAAATAAGGCCTCTTCTAGAAGACACTTAGCTGAGACCCGAAAAAAGTTAGGGATGTTCGGAAGCAGAGACAAGGAAAGACACCATGCCAGTCACGGGGGGCAACCAGCAAAAATGCTGTGAGGCCAGAGGTGGAGTGACCTGTTTGAGGGAGAGCAAGGAGACCAGCCTTACAGAATAGTCAAATGGGCCTCCTGGATTTGCAGAGAGAAGATTCCATAGGGTTGGAAGAGCAGAGAAGTCGAGAGAACAGGGATGTAGGGGCCCATGGATTCACATTGTGCAGGGAAAGTGAGGCCAGGAGAGATGGGAAGCTCAAAATTTCATCAAGGATGAAATTCTGAAAATGAAACAAAGAGAAACAATAACAATGAGAGGAAAGGGAAGTCATCTAAAGAGATTGATGTGAGTGGCTAGGCAACTTGTCAAGAAAACACTGCTTTTAAAAAGATAAATCCAGAAGATTGAAGCAAGGACAGGTAATAGAGGATCGATACAGAAGCATGGCATAGTCCTAGAAGAAAAATGGCTGGAGCCCTGAGTTCTTGAAGGAGCCAGGAAAGCAAAGGAGAATAACAACAATGATGACGAAAAGAGGATTTAAAAATCTATATCGGGGAAAAGAGGGGAATAAAAAAGGGGGTGAGAGGGATGCTTTCAATGGATCAAATGATTCTGGCTGAGGATGAAGGGAAACCATGGCTGCTCAGCTCCGATTTTGTGTCTGTTTTCTCTGCCGAGAAGAATGATCTTTGGATTGGTAAGGACAGAACCAAAATGGCTAATTGGGAGTTGAAACTCATGATTCAAAAGCCAGTAGTCAGAGATCCCTGAGCTTCCTTAGGAGAATTCAGACCTCCAGACGCAGATGAATTGTACCGTATGGGACTGAAGGAGCTGGCTGGTGCGGCGGCTGAGTTTTGGCCAATGATATTTGGGAGGTCACGTAGAATAAGAGAATGCAGAAAGGTGAACATTGTCCCACTGTCCAAAAAAGGGATCCTAAGGTTCTAGAGTTAGAGCTGAAAGGGAACCCAGTGGCTATTTAGTTCAGCTCTTTCATTTAACATAGAAGGATACTGAGGCCTCACGATGAGAAGTGACCTATCTGAGGTTAAGCTGGAGGGACACATCAGTGGGGGATTTTTACCCAAGTCCCTTGACTCTAGAACCAGTACATGTTCTCCCTATACTATAGCATAGACTAGTCTGTAAACTACAGGTCGTAGAACGTGGGCTCCTTGGAAACAGGGGCTGTCTTGCTTTTCTGTTGGTATCCCCAGCACTTGGCACAGTGCTCCACACACAGTAAGGACTTAAGAAGTGCTTCATTCATTCATTCATTCATTCAGTGATCTTGGCTTTAATTCTTGGCAAAATTCTAGAAATTCTGTCACTGAAGTGATGGTTAGTGAACATTTAGAATAGAAAGCCATGAAAACAAAAAGTCAACCATGGATTCAATACAAAACACAGCATCCCATATTTATTGACTTTTTAGACAAGGTTAGTAGGCGTGTTTATCTTTGTATAGGAGAAAGCTTTGAATGCAGCATTTGATAAAGTCTCACATGCATTTCTTTTGAAAAAGATGAAGAAATGTGGTGTAGACAGTTAAGGTTGGCAAAGTGCTTTACAAGTATTGTCTTATTTTATCCTCCTAAAATCCTGTAGGTAGGTGCCATTATTATCCCCATTTTACAGTTGAGGAAACTGAAGGTAGTTGAAGTGACTTGTTTAGGGTCACACAGCTAGTGTCTAAGGCAGAATTTGAACTAAAGTCTTCTTGACTACAAATCCAGCACTCTATTCACTGCACCATCTAGCTGCCTTTAAATTCAATTACTATGATGAATTATGGTTCATTGAATCACAGAATTTCAGAGATGTGAGGGAATTGAGGACTCATTTCATAGATCATAAATCTACAGTTGCAAGGGGAATCAGAAGTTATCTGGTCCAAAGTTTTCATTTTACAGATGAAGAAACTGATGTTAAGGGAGAAGTGACTTCCTCAAGGCTACACTGGTAACTTTAGAAGAACTTGGATTTGAACTCGGGTCCCATGGCTTCAAATTCAGTGTTAGATGCTTCTGCAGCCCAAGGCTGAGTAATTTTGTCTGACACATGACTGGTCAAGAATTTCCTCACACACAGTCTATTATAATTTCTTTTTAAATTTTGTATTGATGTGCTTTGTTTCACAGCATCTACAATTCCCAATTTATCCTTTCCCCTTCCCCTGGCCCCTCTGAGAAAACCATCCCTCTATAACAAAGTATTTATAAAGAGGGAAAAAAAGAACAGTTTAGCAAAACTAACCATCATATTATGTGTTCTCTCCCCTAAATAGAGCATGAGCTCCTTGAGGGCAAGGCTGTTTTGTTTTTTTCCATTCGTATCTCCAGGGGGTAGCAAGGACTTGTGTTTGGAATATTTGTTGTTGTTCAGTCTTTTTTTCAGTCATGTCTGACTCTTCGTGATCCCATTTGGGGTTTCCTTAACAAAGATATTGGAGTGGTTGGCCATTGCCTTCTCCAGTTTATTTGACAGATGAGGAAACTGAGGCAAACAGGGTTAACTTACTTGCCTAGGGTCACACAGTTAATGTCTGAGGCCAGATTTGAACTCAGGTAGATGATTCTTCCTGACTTCAGGCCCATCTCTACCTAGCTATTTAGGTGAATTACAATCTATTGATATTTACCATATTAGAAATTTAAATGTTTTAGTATTGATAGAAAAATAGTTTTGGCTTCATGTACTCCTTGAAAGGGCCTCAGGAACTCCTAGGATTTCCCAGACCACACATTGAGAACTACTGAGCTAGTCCAATCTGTACTTAAGTGGTGGTTCCTTTTCTAAAAAAACAAAAACAAAAATAAAAACCAAACAAACCTAGAAATAGTCATCCAGCCTCTGCTTGAAGAGCTCCAAGGAAAGGCACCCTGTCATCTGATGAAGTGGTCCCCTCCACTCTGGGGCAGCTCTAATGGTTGGGAGGTTTTTCCTGACATTAAATTGAAATTTACTTCCTTGTAACTTCTCCCAGATTGCTCCTGGTTCTGTCCCCTCTTGCTCTAGGGAAGTGAACTTTGATCCTTAACTCACAGCATGTTAAAGCTGAGAGGCCTTTAGAGATCCTCTAGTCTGGGGAAGTGTGGTACAATGTAAATCACAACAGATTTGGAGTCAAAGAACTCGTGTTCCAAACTCAGCTGTGGAAGTTGGTACTTGTGCCACCTTGGGCAATTCATTAGCTGACCTGGTCTATGCTTCCTTTCTCTGAATAGGATGGCTTTTGGAGGTTTCTTCCAGCTTCTGATCTGGGATACCTATTCTCTTCATCATCCTTGATCCATGACATTGACTTGTCCCCTGGTGCCTCTCACATGTTTGTTAGTTTAATTGTATTTTTCCTTTCCAATAAGACTTGATCTGTGGCCCCTGATCTCTAGGGCCAGTGTTCTCCCTGCATAGAGATTAAAGGGATCCCCGGGAGGGAGCGTGTTTGCACATTTTCCAGCTTGGCAGCCTTTGCACATCTTTTGTGTGGGTTGTTGCTGGCCCCAGCCTATTATTCAAGAAGAGCCTTTCTGCACCCTCTGAATTCCTCTAGCTGTCTTCCATCCCACTGGTGCCCTTCCAAGTGCCTGGGCTGCAGCTGCAGTTCTAGTTTTGAGAGATGGGTTATGAGCCAGCTTGCCATGGCTCCACTCAGAGGGAGCTCAGAATGAATTGATGGGGCAGGGAGGCCAACAGTCTCAGTCTGATGCACTGATATAACCCCTAGAGGAAAACTGGAAGTCAGGCTAGGGAAACAGACAGGAGGGGCAATGAACTTCCGTGGAGGGAGGATTGAGCATGGAATGAGATTTGGTTTAATCTTTCTGGGAAATCTACTCTGCAGGAAGCCCTGCTGCTGGCCACTGGAGTTGCTGGAGTCCCTGGTCCCCCTGCCAGGCAGGCATCAAGGAGAGGTCAAGAAGCTGCAACAACCCAGCCCCCCAGAATGGAGGGCTCTTGTGTCAAGGATCCAGAACCGAGAGACAGGAGTGCTGAGGGCCACAAGGAGGGCCTTTGCTTGACCTCTCATCTGTCCAGAGTGCTGAATGTGGCCACCTCTCTCCACTGTCCCCTACACTTAACTGGCAATAATAATAAATATAATAAACTCAACAAATTTTACAGAGTACTTTGCCTTAAATTTGATGAACTAGGTAGTACAAACATTATTATCATCCCCATTTCATGGGTGAGGAAACTGAAGCAAAGAGGGGCAAAAACCCAAGATTGTATAGCTAGTAAGTGGCAAATATTAGACAGGAACCTGTCTTCAGATGATCCTTATGCCATAATTGCCTAGTCCTCTAGGGTTGTCTCACACCTATCTCAAAGATTAATTACAAGTGCCTACTATGTGCTAGGCACTGTACTATGAGGAGGGATACTAAGATGAAAGTGATCAGTCAGTGCCTTTAAGGATCTTATATTCCACTGAAAGAGGTAAGATACACACATAGAGGGATGTACAGAAAAGACACAAAGTGAATATAAGGTAGACTGCAAGGAGGGCCCAGGACTTGGAGGAATGTCAGGAAAGGCTCAGGTAAGAGGTGGTGCTTGGGCTGAAATACATGCACACATATACATTCACACCAATGTATATATGTGTATATATATATATATTATATATATGTTTATGAGTGGATACATACATGTGCATATACAAATATATGTGTACATATACATATATTTCTATTTCTCCTATGTTTATGTCTATATCTCTGTACCTATGGATGCATGTATGTATATATATGTTATATATATATTATATGTATGTGTGTGTGTGTGTATGTATGTAGATCTATTTCCTATCGATATTCCCAGACTTTCTGAAATCTATCTATGGATCCCAGCTTAAGAATTCAGATAGGTAGATGAGATCCAAATCATGAAGATCCCTTGGTTTTAAATGCCCAACAGAGAACTTAATATTTAATCCTGGTGGCAACTGAGAGCCAATGAAGTTTCTAGAGCAGGGGATGGGGGAAAGTGCAAAATAGGTTGACTATACTAGTGAAAAATATACTAGTTGACTATACTTGTAAAAAAAGAAAAGTTAGTTATGAAAGAGAGGTATTGAAATAAGATGCCTCAAGATTATAATTGTAATGTCAGTCTTTCTTGACAGTTACAAATTGAAAGAGAGAATGGATAATGACCATTTATGGCATGATCAGGAGCAATGGGTACATAAAGCTACTGTAAAACTTCCATTATCAAATGAGATCATATTGTAAAGTGCTTAGCACAGTGCCTGGCACATAAAAGGTGCTTAATACATTCTTGTTTCCTTTCCTAAATTCATTCAAAAGACATTTGTTATCTCCTTTAAGGTACTATGCTGGGTATATGAGTATGTTGAGGGTATGAGAAAAGGCTGCAGGGTGGGAAGATCTAGAATTTAGATGAGATAGAGTCCCTGGCCTCAAGGAACCACATTCTCCAAGATCACTTGCCAGTTGTGAAACATGGGCTTTGTAATGACTATACTATATGTTGGAACTCTCCTTCTTCGCAGTGGAGCAGGACAATGGAGTTACACAACAACCAGCCAATTAGAAGTATTCCTGAGGCGCGGAGCTGCTTGATGTACCAGTGATCCTTTTGTGAATGAAGTCTCGCAGAATATGGAGATGCCTGTAGCTGCCAGAAACCACAGAACCAGCCTTGAGCAGCTCAAGGGCAACCTTGAGCGGCAGCTGCAGATTTGAGATCTTGCTTGGGACTTTCTAAACATCCTGCTCCCTGGCTGATTGTGCCTACAGATGTCTTCTCCTCTAACTTTCCCTCCCCCTCCTGAAATCCTGGAGCCAGCTTATGCTGGTGAGCACCCCTTCTTGGTCTCCTTTGCTGGATTCTCTTCCAGATCACACCCTCCATCCACAGGTATCCCTCAGGGTTCAGTCCTCCCACTTCCATACTGCTTCAATTGGTGAATTCATTCACTCTCGTGGATTTAATTACCATAATTATGTTAATGATTCTCAAATCTCCTTATCCTTCCCCAACCTCTCTGCTGGCCTTCAATCTCAAATCTTCAACTATCTTTCAGATATCTCAAACTAGATATTTGGTAGACATCTTAAACTCAACATGTCCAATAATGAACTCATTATCTTTCTCCTCAGACTTCCCTATTATTATTCCCCATTTCTAAGCTTCCCTGTTTCTGTGGAGGGCATCACCATCCTGCCATGCCATCAGACTTGAAACCTAGGCATCATCCTGGACTCCCTACTCTCTACTCTCCTCCCCAATATCCAGCTGTTGTCAAGGCCTATAGATTTCACCTCTGTGGCATCTCTCAAATATGCCTCCTTCTCTCCTCCAACATGGCTTCCACCCTGGCACAGACTCTCATCACCTCACATCTGGAGTATTGCAATAGCCTGCTTGGGGTAGTGGCGGTGGTCTGCCTGCCTCTTGCCTCTTGCCACTCCAATCCATCTTTCATTCAGTCACTAAAGTGATTTTCCTAAAGCACAGGTGTCATCATGTCACCCCTCCCCTCCAATAAACTCCAATGGCTCCCTATCACCTTCAAGATCAAAGACAGAATCCTCTGTTTGGCATTCAAAGCTCTACATAACCTAGTCCACTCCTACCTTTTCACTCTTCTTACACCTTACTCCCAACAAGTAATCTTTGATCCACTGACATTAGCCTCCTGGCTGTTCCATAAATAAGACACTCCATCTCTTGGCTCTGGGCATTTTCTTTGGCTGTCTCCTATATCTGGAGTGCTGTCCCTTCTCATCTCTGCCTACTGACTTCCCGGGCTTCTTTTAGGTTCCAATGAAAATTTCACCCTCTGCAGGAAGCCTTTCCCAGATCCTCTTATTTCTAGTGCCTTCCCTCCCTTAATTATCTCCTATTTTTCATATATGTATATATGTACACATATATATACACAATATATATACATGCATACATATATATATATATATACACACAGAGACAGAGACAGAGACAGAGGGACAAAAAGAGGGAGAGAGACAGAGAGAGACAAAGAAAGAGACAGAGAGAAATAGAGACAGAGACAAAGAGGGAGTCATATACACACACAGAAATAAAGATAGATAGATAGATAGATAGATAGATAGAGAGAGAGAGAGAGAGAGAGAGAGAGAGAGAGAGAGAGAGAGAGATTGTATATATTTGTTTGTTTTCTCCACTACTAGATTTGCGAGCTTCTCAAGGTCAGGGACTGACTGCCTTTTACCTCTTTGTATCTTCAGTGCTTAGCACAGTATCCCATACTAGATACTTTTAAAATGTTTATTGACTGACTGCATGGAAACATAGGGAAGTCCATTAATACACCCTTTCCAGAACAATGGTAGTGTTTATTTCATTAGAGTTCTCAGAAGGAGTTTTCTCAGTCTAGGAATTTTCTATACCAACAACATCATATGTCCTGCCCTCGCTCATCGCATGAAGTGGAAAGATAGAGGAGAGGGGGGAGGTGGAAAGAATACGCACAAAGAATCAAGGCCCCAGCTGATTCAGTCACAGAGCGTTCCAGTTAATAAATGTTTGTTGAATGATGGATCCATTCATTGATCAGTAGAGGAAACAAGAAATGCCTACAGCTGAGTACAGTAGAGATAGGAGTACATAAGAGACCAAAGCCTCTGAAAGTAGAGGAGGGAAACAGAGCTTTCATTTTGGGATCAGGATAAAAAAAAGCTTTGTGAAAGACGAAGCATTTGTGTTGGACCTTCAAAAATAGAGCATTAGTACACGAAGACAGAGGCTTCAGGCTTGGTGATGGGAAGGATATTCCAGGGATGAGGAAAAACTTCTTTCCAAGTAATTATAACTGAAAGTCCCAGATTAAGGAGGGAAATGAATGAATGAATGAAAAAGCATTTATCAAGTACTTACTCTGTTCCAGGTATTTTACTAAATGCTGGGAACTGAAATACAAAAAAAAAAAAGCAAGACAAGGAGCAGCGGGTGGGGGGAGGTAGAGGCAAATTGAAGGTCTTCTCTGTAATAGTGAATTCTTAACAATGACTTGTGACTCCAGTCTGAATCTGTGTTTCCACTGACTCACAGCCTTGTAACTCAGCAGATTCATTGGCTAATAAATCATCATGGTCATCTGTTTGTAGAGCACTTGAAAGTTTACAATGTACTTTCCCCTTTGTCTCTGCATCCCTGGTGCTTAGCATATACAGAGTTTGAGACTGAACCTGGGACTTCTTTGGTATAGGGAAGCTCCTGGTGAAGACACTTTCTCTACTAAGGTAGGTCAGTGCTTTCTCTGAAACTTATTAATAGTAGCTAGCATTTATAAAGTGTTCTAAGTTTAACAGAGCCCTTTGCATATGTTATCTCATTTGATCCTCCCAACAACCTTGGGGCAATCAGTTGCCCTCATTGTCCTTATTAGTCTCATTTTACAAATGAGGAAACTGAGGCTGAGAGAGGTTAAATGACTTGCCCAGCTTGTGTGAGGCAGGATTCAAACTCAGGTGTTCCTGAGTCTAAGTTCAGAATATTATCTACTATGCCACCTTAAAGGCTTAAAGTCTTAGAGTTGCTTAGAGCACTTAGAAGTTATTGACTTACCCTGGGTCACACAGAATGGATCAGAGGCAGTATTTGAACCCAGATCTTCCTGACTCCAGTTCTCTTTCATCAAGGAGAGAGAACTTGCCACGTAGAAGGTATTTTATAAATGCTTACTGTGTGAATGAACATATGAAAAGGAAGTTGTATAGTTGTCATTACTCTCATTTTACAGAAGAGGAAACAGCCCCAGAAAGGGAAAGTGATTTGTGCCAAGTTGCACAGCTCATCTGTGGCAGTCCTGGTTCTCCCAATGCTCACAGGACTTTGGAGAGCAATTTTCTTATGGCATGCATTACTTGGGGACAGAAGATAGTCCAGACTCAAGCCTGGTTCAGGGTGGGGTTAGCATGCCATATCCCAGCCTTCCAAGGACATTTATTGGGGGTGGAGGAAGGAGAAATGGTGAGAAGAGATGACTCTGGAAACATCCTCTGGCCAGGAAGCTGCTACTCTAGGCTTTTCCTGCTTCATCAGAGGGGAAGGGGGCTCCAAGGGCTGATGAGCTAACAAGGTCTCTTGGAGATTATGAGCAATTATACCTG